TGGTGCTGGTGGTGTTGGTGTTGTTGCTGCTGTTGTTATTGCTGCTGCTTCTGTTGTTGTTGTTGTTGTTGTTGTTGGTAGTACTGTTGCTGCTGTTGTTGTTGTTGTTGTTGTTGTTGTTGTTGTTGCTGGCGTTGCTGGCGTTGTTTTTGTTGTTGTTGCTGCTGCTGCTGCTGCTACTTGCTGCTGTTGTTGCTTGATGTTGTCGGATGTTGCTTGTTGTTTGCTGCTTGTTGTTTAGCCTTTGTTCTTTGTTTGCTGTTCTTTGTTCTGCGTTGTTTGTCGCTGTTGCAGTTGTGGTTGCTGCTGTTGCTGTTGCTGTTGCTCTTGCTGGTGTTGTTGTTTGTTTGTTTGCTCTTCTTTGCTCTGTGTCGTTTGTTGTTTGTGGTTGCTTGTTGGTGCTGGTTGGTCTGTATTGTTTGTTGTGTGTTGCATGCTGTATGTTGTATCTTGTTTGTTGCTTGTCGCATGTTGTTTGTTGCTTGTTCTTTGTTCTTTGCTGTTTGTCGTTTGTAAGTTGTTATGTGTTCAGTGTTGTTTGATGTTTTTGGTTTGCTGTGGCTGCTGTTGTTGTTGCTTGTCGTTGCTGTTGTGTTGGTTGTTATTGTTGTTGATGTTGGTATGATGTTATTCTTCTTCTTCTTCTTCTTGTTCTTGGTCTTCTTGTTGTTGGCCTTGTTGTTGTTGTTGCTGCTGTCGCGGTTGCCTAGAACTGGGCATGTCTTGGGTAGCTGGCAGCTAGAGCTATTGAACTAATTACTTTTGAGTTCAGCATGGTCTCGAACTGAAGATACACCTAAGACAACTGCACAGGTTCAACACGAATCGTCCCGACTCACAACAAGTATATGACCAAGAAACGGGGCAAGCTGCCGGCGCGCGGTGGTCGTTTGAGGAGCGGACGCAAGTCTGCACGACACATTGGACACAGGCCACCTGAGCTATGTGTTGTGTGCTGTGCAGGGTCTCACGGCTTCTGCCACCAAAGGGCTTAGGCAGCTGCAAGGTTCAAGTCTCAAGCTGGGGGACAATATTCAGGCGCTTAGTGCAGGCCTAATTCATGCAGAATGCTCATGACAGATGTACTGCTCGCTTCACATGTGGCGAAGGAGACTACAATTAGCTGGGATGCTTCAACTTCAAATCGTGGTTCGACTTGTCCATCACTTTTCCTCTCTGACAGGACGTGCGTGGGCGCGGGGTACATATGTATGTGTTTGCGAACCGACCAATTGACACAGCAGCAGCAGTAGCAGGAACCACTTGGACCTGGACCTACCGCTATTCATCTCACTTTCTCTCTGCATCCCTCTATCAAACTCAGTTCATTTTCTGACTTCGAAGCTTGTCTCGCGCAACATCACTGTAAGAACCACTAATAGCAAACCTCGCACGCAAGTCGATGTTCACAGGAGACTATGACTATGAGTGGAGCTGTGCAACCGGGTCTGTTGCCACGAAGCCACAGCGCCGCAGCCAGGGCTCCACACACTCGCCGCAGAAGCTGTGTCCGCAAGGCAGTTGGAGGGGCATGGAGCTGACCAGCAAGCACACTGCGCATTCCTCCTGAAATTTGCCGGGCTGTGTGAGAATCTGGATGGCAAACTCTGCTCAGCTGAGGTTCGTAGCTTACAACAGTTCCTGAGCAAAGCAAAGTGCAAAGCTCGGGGCCTTCAGATTGATGCATGCACAAAACACCACAAAATTCCGACCACTTTACTCCCCCTGCCAACAGCAACACGACCACGTACCGCGACAGCAGCGACAACGACACAGCAGCGGACGAATAAACCAAGTGTGACTGCTGCAATTACTCGCCGTTATATCCTGCTGGACGCTTCGGTCCTCGGGATTGTCAGACGGGCCACTCCACATCTGAAGGGCCGCTTCCATCTCCTGGACGCATCTCCGGGCTCTTCATTCATTCGGACAGTGATAACGATCCAAAATGTCGTTAACTCCGAGGCTCTCTTCATCCAGAAAAAGACAGCACGAAGGCTGAAGTTGTGCACAAATGAAATAGGCGCCAACGCAAAGTCGCGGACCTGCAGTCCGTCCCTCTCGTACGTTTACTTGTCTATACTGGAGTTCTGCTCAAGAATCCGACTCGTGCGGCAAGAGCCGCGACAGCACTGAAATCACAGTGTTGATGCTGCTGATGATGATGGTGATTCATGGTGATGATTATGGTGATGCACCAATACCTCGAACGATGCTAATGGTCGTTTGCGGTTCTGTTGCGTTTTCGTCCAATATTGCAAACGGCACAGCTGCTACGAATGCATTTTGTCTAACCTTAGCTACGACCTACCCAACCTGCAAGTTCTTTATGAGAGCACCCACTAAGTGCCAAACACCCAGTAGCTGCGTGGTGAAGTCCAAACTAGATCGAGTGCCCTATGAATTACGTCGGTGTGCATGGGGTAAACGTGGCCTGAGGAGTCCGTGAAAACCCACGCTTGCCTGCATCTCATCTTCTCGGCATGCTAACATTGCTGCATGCGATACGACAGTGCCTCACCGACGCTCTATGTTTCAGCGATTCCCGGCTTGCTGCGATCTCTGTGCTTCTTCTGTGCAACCTGCTCGCAGTGATTTCTGTCTCGGAGACGGTCGGGTCTCCTGCATGGAGAAGCCACGTGCCACCTTCTTCTCGCCATGCGCATCCTCAGTCAGAGTAAGTAGCTTTGGATACACGCGTCGTTCGGGTGCTTCTAGGTACAGACGGCCTTTAAACGCCGAGATAATGGAATTCAGGTGAACGTAGATAATACGAGAGAAAGATGGATATAGATGGATGAAGCGAGAACGGTCCTCGATGGCATTCACCCCATCCAGAATTGGTGTTCTGCCGGACCGGGATTGCCCACGTGATGCAGGTCGAGCTCGGATTGAGCTGCCATCGAGACTTGCCCTCCGCCACTCTTCGGCATAGGAAGGCAATGGCACAGACCCACCTCAGGAGGAAGGCACAATCGCATCACAACAGGCTTGAAGCTTGCAACTCGGCTCTTCAGAACCCAACCTGTGCTGCGAGCACTTATCTCCACCGCTTCCGACACGTCGCTGGCCTGTCGTCGTGCCAGCTTTAGTGGCGGCACACGCCGACCACGTTCCCTCCAGCACTCGGGATGGAACCTCGCGGGCTGAAAAGCGGCATCGACGATGTGATTCATAAAATGTTTCTGTTTCAGGGAGAAACGACCGAGTACGGCTGCTAAGTTTGACCCTGTCAGACCCTGCCTCTGTGTCGGACCGCCCTGTATCTCAGTGACGATCTCGGCGCCCAGCGCACTGAAGGGTCTGCGGCAATGGTAGCAGCGGTGTCCTAGGTCCCGCTTGTTTGCAGGGCGTATGTAGGCTTCCCGTCGGGCGTCGTCTGTTGGCAGAGGTGTGAACTCTGCAAATTCCGACACGCGAACGGCTCCCGGGCCGCCGCTTCCGAAGTCCAGGCGCCACTGCTCCAGGGCTTGCAGCCGGGCCTCCGACCTCTCGCCGAGCCGCTCGCCTCGTCCATCTAACTGAGCCTGGGCCTCCGGCGCGCCGGGCCCAGGCGGGGCGCTGTCCGAGCGCAGCGCTGAGGAGGACTCCGCAGCACGCGCGAGGCGGAAGCTGGTGGAGGAGCGACGCGGATCCCGCGGCAAGGGAGGGGGCAGAGACGGCACGAGCTCACGGTCTGCGTCAGTCATGGGCTCAGGCCATCCAAAGTGTGCATCGTGCGTTTCGTGTAAACTTTGCTAGTACGCTTGGTGGCTGGATTAGGGGCATGTC